AAAGGTCGAGGTCGAGCTTCGTGATATCTGCTACGATGTGCTGGTGAGTGCTGGTTTTCGAATTGGGTGTGATTCGATTGGGATTGCCTTGGCCTGCTTGGTGTGCGCTTGTTTTCTCTGTGTTGTCCTGACAACCGCTGCCGCTGCCGCCGTGTTCTCAATTACCGCAGCAGCCACCGCCACTGAGCTCGAATTTCCACTTTAGCACCCGAGAGTTGTTTGACTCGATTGACGTCTTTGTCGTCGACTACGGCTGAAATTTGAGACTCATTAGTGTGTGGCTTTTGTTAAACTTGTACTAATCTGTCTCCCTCTCTTTTCTTTTCTTCTCTTCTCTTCTACCATTCTCTTTCCACCACCAGGGCCTCCTCGACAAATACCTGATCCCCAAGGCGAGCAACGCCGAGTCGAAGGTCTTCTACCTGAAGATGAAGGGCGACTACTACCGATACCTGGCCGAGGTGGCCACCGGTGACCGAAGGACGAGTAAGTCCCTTTCAAATGTTGTTGAGTTATTTGGCGAAGTTATCTCCTGCGCACCTCCTCCTCCTGAGAGGAATGTGTTTGCCCTCACCTTCCTGTCTTTTACATGACAGCTACACATAGGACACAGCTGTTTCACTGGCTGTTGTCGTCGTCTGTGTTGGGTTTCTTTCCTTCTTCTCATTATTACCACCTTCTTTCTTAGGCAGCAGGCAGGCAGGCAACAACTTCTTTATGCCCAATTACGCCTGCCTGCCCGCCTGTCTGCTCATCAGCGCAGCCTAGGCAATTGCAATTTTCCGCCATTTCCCCTTCGCCTTCTCCCCCTCGTTTCCTCCTATCTTAATGTACATTTCTTTCTTTCTGATTTGTACACATCACTGGCGGCATACACTTGACTCGAATCGAGCTATTGATTTTGATGGTGGCCGTCGAAGAAGGAGAAGGGGAGACAGTAGTAGTAGCAGCTACTAGCTAGACAGACACTTTGGCGCTGGTGTGTGTTTATTAGCCAGCTCAGTGGCTGCTGATGAGCTCTTTTCACGCTCTCATTGCAACACCAATGGAAGAGCTGATCGGCTGTAGAGTAGGCCTCTTGCAGCTTTTCANGCATACACTTGACTCGAATCGAGCTATTGATTTTGATGGTGGCCGTCGAAGAAGGAGAAGGGGAGACAGTAGTAGTAGCAGCTACTAGCTAGACAGACACTTTGGCGCTGGTGTGTGTTTATTAGCCAGCTCAGTGGCTGCTGATGAGCTCTTTTCACGCTCTCATTGCAACACCAATGGAAGAGCTGATCGGCTGTAGAGTAGGCCTCTTGCAGCTTTTCAGCTGCTGCTGCTCGAATCGCCGCTCCTGATTAGAGTTGCTCTCTAACCAGTCAACCTCTTTCCTTCTTTCTTTCACTTGCTCTTGTTAACTTTGCTCGACGTCACAGCCACTTCTATTGCCTGCCATGCTTAGGCTGCTGAGGTGATTCTCCGGAGATCCGCAGATGCACTCTGCTGCTGCTGCTGCTGCTGTTGCAATTGCCGCAGACGCAACCAGCACAACAGTTGCGAGTTGATTTCAGGCATTGTGTGCACCGGTAGCTCTCACACACACTCACACAGACAGACAGGAATGACGGTGGTTGATCCACACTTGCCTGCTCTCTCATTCTCTCTCTCACAGCAAAGTGATTTGATTTGAGTGAAGCATCCGCTTGCTGCTGCTGCTGCTGCTGCTCAGGCATTACGTGCACTGTTACGCTCTCGCTCGCTCGCTCTCTGATCCTCCTGCCTGTGTCCTATGAGATGCATATGGTGTCGGTGTGCTCTCAGTGAGGCCGATGCCTGAGCTGAGCTGAGCTGCTGTACAATGCAAATGCACACATAGCATACTGTGCCTATGTCCTGAATGGCGGCACAGCACCACCACCACCACCAGGCGCTGGTTGCCTATTTATGGCGTGTCTCCGCCGTGTGCTCCCCTCTGCCTTCTTTCTTTACTTTCCTTCTTTCTTTCTTTCTTCCTTTTCACTTGGAAAGGCACTGGCAAATCAAAGCTGGCGCTGCCTATGCGCGCTTACTTGCAATCATAGGCAGCTGCCTCTCTTTCTCTTGTCTGCTGCTGCCCCTTACGTGTGTGCTTTTTCAGCATCATTTTCTATGAATCACACGGCAGCTGCTGCTGTGGCTGATGCTGCTGCTTCCCCTCACCACCGCCAGTCAGTCAGTCATCGGAGATCTTGTCGTTGTTGCCGGCGACGACGACGACGACGAGTACATGAGTTATACTCTGCAGGGAGGACTATTGCGATTGATTGGGGCGAGCGATGATGAGTTGACATTTGAGATGTAACTGCAGCAGCAGCAGCAGCAGCTCTCCAGGGCATTGGAGTTTGGTCAGTGTTGGCTGTGGCTAGCTGAATAGCTGCTAGCTGGATCCACTTGCACCAGCAGTACTACCAAAGCAATTGCGCAACCTGTGAAAGGTGCGGTCGAGACTGCCGCCTGGTTGACGACAGCCAGCACTGTCTGTCGCTATGGAATCACTGGCCACCAGTGTTGGGCGCCGCCGCTTGCTCTTCTTGCTCTCACCACTTTCACTGGTATGTGACCAGTTGGTAACAGCAGCAGAAGTAGCAGTGAATCGATTGGCCAGCTCGGAAAGTATGCCTCATCCCTTCCTTCCTGCCTGCTCTTCATGTTCCCCTCTTTTCATATCATTACCTTGCTCTTTACCTCGCTAATTGCCCTGCAGCGGAGTGTGCTGGCTGGCTGGCTGGCTGGTTAGCTTTGATATTGAACTACTGTAACTGGTATTGAATTGCTTCTGCTGCTGCTGCTGTTGGCCGAGCCTAACCAAGCGGAGCATACAGAGAAGAAGGACATTTGTCGCGACATGTGTCGCTTTCAGTGCTCACTGACCTTTGGGCAGTTTGAGGAAGTGGTGTGCTCTCTCTTAGTGGCTGATTTTGTACACCTCTCTCTCTCTCACTCACTTTATCCGCTCACTTTCCACTCATTCCTGTCTGTCTGTCAATGTTTGCTCATGGCTTTTGTGGGATGTAGCAGCTTTTAGAGGCAGCAGGGGCAGCAGCAGCAGCCACACACTCAAACCAAAGATGTCCCCTAGCTGCTGGAGTTTCCTTTGGTTTTGCTGGTTCCCAACACCGACTCTCTCATCCCTTGGGAACTAAACACTGTGTGTGTATTTGTGTGTATTTGTGTACAGGCTCCGACTGGTGCTCACCGGTGAGCTGGCTGACCCACACACAAGAACACACAAAAATGCACAAACACCGCTGATATTTGAGACTGCTAACTCAAATTGTGTATGTGGGGCTCAGGTTTTGAGCTAACGGAGCTATTGCTGGCTGGCTATTGTCCTGGAATCCCTCACTTTTCTGCTCTCCTTTTCCAGTGCAGGCCCATTTTAATCAATGGCCATTCTGCCACTACCGCCGCCGACGTCGGAGTCACTTGACTCTCTGTCTTCAGACTGTCGTCTCTGCTGCTGATGACAAAGGAAAGCAGCGGGAAGGAAAGGGAAGAATAAGGGGATATCTTTCACTATCTCTGCCTTTCATTTTCCTCTTTTCCTCCTCTTTCCTTTCTTCGGCCGNAGTAGTTTGTCTTTGTACTCTCTCTCTCTCTCTCTCTCTCTCTCTCTCTCTCTCTCTCTCTGACGCTGCTGTAACGAACTTTGGCGGCGAGAGTGAATAAACACACAGAACTCTGAGCCCCCGCCATTAGAGTGTGCCATAAGTAGTGCGCTCACCACTACTACTTTTCCCGCATCAGTTTGGCTGCTGAGAATCTTCTCCTCACTGGCTGGCTGTGTAATGACCGAACCGGTCCTTTGCCTTTGCCTTTGCCTTTTGGCTGCTCCTGCTTCTGCCGTTGAATCTGCTGATGTTGATTGAGACATACGCTGTGGAGAGGATGAGAGTGAGCCCACACATCTTTTTCTTTTTCTTTCTTTTTGCTCACTTTCTGAGCAGCAATGTTTGCTTTGCCTTTGCCATGCATTCATATTCTCCCTACTTCTAATGCGCTCCTCTCTCTCTCTCTCTCTCTCTCTCTCTCTCTCTCTCTCTCTTTTGTTTGCTATTAGGCAAACGAGAGAGCTTAGAGTGAGCGAAAACTGAAGATGATCCCTTAGTTTGCAAATGCTAATTCGCCGCGCTCTAATGCTTATGATGGTGCTGACCCCAGTTACGATACTTACCCTGCGCTTTTCTTCCCTTCCCTTTCCTTTTCTTCCTTTTTGCCCATCCTCATCAAACCTCGCTTGCTGATTCTGCTTTACTTGCTCTGCCTACGCATCTTTACCAAACTGAACTTGATCACTTTACTACTCGTCCACTCCGTTTGATTGAAATATCACCCCCCCCCTCTCTAAACCACTTGATCATATCCACTACCATCACAATCTGACTATCATTAGGCGTGGTGGAGGAGTCGCAGAAGGCCTACCAGGAGGCGTTCGACATCTCCAAGTCGAAGATGCAGCCTACGCACCCCATCCGCCTAGGCCTTGCCCTCAACTTCTCGGTCTTCTTCTACGAGATCCTCAACTCGCCCGACAAGGCCTGTCAACTCGCCAAGCAGGTACTGTGCCACCGCAGAGCGGAGCCTACTAACCGTGCACCTCTTTTTCTTTTTCTTTCCTCTTTCTTTCCTCTTTCTTTTTTCCTATTCTTTTGCATGATCCCAACTACCGCTGTTGCTGCTCATTTCCTTTCCACTCTTTCTGTGTGTTATCTTCTTTGTGTCTGTCTGTGTGAACACTTTCCTCTCTCTCTGTCCTCTCTCTCTCTCTCTCTTATCACCGCGCGCGCTATGGTTGTACGATGATGATCATCGCTATCTTATCGCTCATGTGACTGCCTGTTCCTGGGATACTGTCACCCTCTTCTCCATCATCACCACCATCATTACAACCATCACCATCGTCGTCTGCACCTAAACCCTATCTTATCACCACCACCATCACCATCGCCGGT